CCTTAAAAGAAGGGTGGGGTCATGCTCTCCCACTCACTGACTTTTTACTTTGGCTGTAGTGCCAACAAGGGATTGATGGATAAAACGGCAAGGACCAGGATGATGACACACAGTAACAAAACAAAAGCAAACCTCCAAATCCTAAGCAGGGAGGGAACCACCACGTCAGCCCTGGATCGCCAAGTTCCAGGCTTTTATGTTGAAGAAACATAGATACCTATCTTGTTTAAGCCACTGGCATTTTGGTCTCTCAACTACAAAAACCTATCTTCAAGTAATTTAAAAGACATGTTATTTAATTTAAGAATTTTGAAAGACAAAACAATTTATTTGTTCAGTTGATGCAAAAACAAGTTTGGGGAGAAAAATCCTCCTTATTGTTAAACTTGTGTACTTTTCTGAATCACAATTACTATTTTCATGGGTTGTTATATCTGAGAGCTCACACAGTATTTAGAGAAAAGGGAATTAATATTTACTGGAGATTTTACATATATACTCATTTAAAGTCTCCACAATTTTGTTAGTTAAGTATTATTAAGGTTCAAAGGTAATGAGTCCTGGATCAGACATTTCAGCACAGGTTTCAAACATATTTTCATATCTCAAACATATTTTCTTCTTGTTAGAATATAACTTTTAAATTATTGAAAGAGATTCTACAATAATATGAATACCCAGTGAATAACAGATATATCAAGGAAGCCTTCCATTTCATTGTTATATATTCTTATATTTATTTTTGCATATGTAGTGACTGATGTTGAAATCCTAAGAACTGACTGACTCAAACATAGAAAAATAAATTTGACAAAAGAAAAAAAATTTATGTTAGTCCTATTCACTTATTTAGATTATTCTTTTAAATTAACTGCTTGGACTCAAAGTAAAAAGAAGGAAAAAAAGGCATTATATAATTCTAACAAGTATTTGCTTTGTTCTTTTAGCTCTCATTTTCTTTGTAAGCTCCAGTAGGAAATTTTGTTTAAGATATGTTATGTAAACTATTTATCAAATTCCCCTTTAAATGGCTATTTTGGCTCCCTTTCATAGCACACATTATGAACAATGGAATAAACACAGTGACTTTTCTTTCTTCTACTAGTGAAACTTAAACAAGCATAGCAAATTGTTATAATAAGAATGAGATGTTTTCAGCTCAACTACTGACTTCCCTTCTAGATAGCTGAAGGTAAAGCATAAAATGCTGCAACTGTTTCGTAGATTTTGTATCCTCTGATGAATATTTCACAACCCTCCTATGGTTATGTCACTGAAATTGTTTCTGTTGTTAATCAAGACTTTATTATTGTCTTTCTCGAACAGATTTTTAAAATTACCCTAATATTTTTTGGCCAACCTTATATGTTTCCTCACCTCTTGCTAAAGGGAGGTAAGGGTGAGATAAGATATGGTTGTTATGACTGCTCTATCTATTGCCTTTTCTATCAGTTTTTGAAAGAGGTATTTAACTATAGTTATGGATTTATCCATTTCTCCTATTTGTTCTGTCAGTCTTTTTCTCACATATTTTGAAGCTTTTGTGCAACATACACATTTAGGATTGTTATTATGTCTTCTTGGTGTATTAACTTTTTTATCATTACGTAATGTTCCTTTCTGAATCTGGTAATTTTCTTTGCTCTGATGTCTACTTTATCTACTAATATAGCATAATTACTCAAATCAGAGTTTTCACATTAGGATATTTTCTAGGGAGAAATAATTTGGGGATTATTTAGTTATATATAAGCATAATACTAGTAATATAATTATGAAATTGAAAATAGAAGTGATTCAACTAGTTATGGTAAGCTAGAATATTGAAAGGTATCTGTATTCTTTCCTAATTAATTAAATGTCTTCATTTACATTGTAAGGACTTCTTTTTCCTTTCTGAAAACACTGCTACTTCATTTTTAAAATTCAATGCTATAAGCTATAGCGTTTATCACATTGAAGTATCATGGTGCCTCAGATTTCTGGTGGGAACTCTTGCTCTTTGAATTGTCATCTGTGTCTCAGAATCTCAGAACTGAAAGTGATACCGGAGGTTGTCTTATGACTTATACATAACTGGTAACTCTATGACACACCAGTCTCTGCCTACTAAATCTTATATAGTTTTGGAAAGAAACTATGTATAAGTTTATCTTGTCGTGTAAAATTACTGACTAGATAATAGGCTATGCAGAAATCTCATGGCCAATGACACAAATTTAAAAAAAATTACAAACTAAAATTGGGATTTTCATGTTTTCTTAATTCCCTTTTTTAACTCAGGCAGCTAAACTATAATCTTTTGAGCTTTAGTATAAAGAAAATGCAAACATATTGCTAATAATGTTTTGCTACATTCCTCCTATCAAAGACTTTCTGAAAAGATTAAAAGGCTAACACAATGAGATATCACCTTCTACCTATTAGGATGGAAATTATAAAAAAGACAATAAATAAAAGTGTTGGCAAGGATGTGAAGAAAAGGAAACCCTTGTGCATTGTTGGTGGGAATGTAAATTGGTGCAACCACTACGGGAAATAGTATGGAATTTCCTCAAAATATTAAAAATAGAACTAGTATATAATCCAGTAATTCCACTTCTGGGTATTGACCTGAAGAAAATAAAAACACTGACTGGAAGAGACATATGCACCTCTATGTTCATTATAGCATTATTCTCAATAACCAGGACAGGGAAAGAGCCTATGTCCACCAATGGGTGAATAGATAAAGAAAATGTGACATATGTGGACAATAGAATATTACTTACCCATAAAAAATAATAAAATCTTGACATTTATGACAACATGGATGGAACTTGAGGACATTATGCTAAGTAAAATAAGTCAGAGAGGGAAAAACAATTACTGTGTGACCTCATATGTGGAATCTATAACAAAAACAAAAACTGAGCTTATAGATACAGAGAACAGATTGGTGGTTGCCAGAGGCTAGGGGTAGAGTTGGGACATATGAGTAAAGGTGGTCCAAAGGTACAAATTTCCTGTTATAAAATAAAGTCATGAGGATGTAATGTACAGCATGATAACTATAGATAATAATATTTTATTGCATAATTGAAAGTTGCTAAAATAGTAGATCCTAAAAGTTCTCACTGCAAGAAAAAAAGTTTTTAATTATGTATGGTATTGGATGCTAACTAGACTCATTACGGTAGTCATTTCAATATATCAATATATACAACCACTGAATCATTACAATGTACACCTAACTAAACCAATATAATGTTATATGTAAATTATACCTGAATTAAAAAGGGGGCTAATATAAAATGTTTACATCTTTATTTATAGAATGTTTCATTTAATATCAATATTCAACCACATAAGCTATCATAATCATGCTGAAACTTAAATAAACTTAATTTAATCCAAATAATGAACATTTCCATGTTAAGGATTATAGACCCACAACAACTTCTCAATGCTTACAGCATGAATTATGAAGTTTTTATCAAGGCATTTTTTGAAATGCCCACTTCTTTCTTCTCTCTCATTCTACTACAGTCATATATAAATTCTAAAATTACTTAAGCAAGTCATGTTTCATAATTCCATGCCTGAAAGCAATCTGCTCAGTTAGTCCAGAATGTTCCTCCTATACATGGCAATATCATTGTAGGTCATCTGCTCCATAAAGCCTTTCCTGGTCATTTTTTCCTTTGTGAAATTGAACTGTCTCCCTTTGCCCACTCTGCACCTGACCCATAATGACTTTCTATCATAGTACCTAGAACTCAATTTATTGCCCATATGTAATTACAGGACTGTGAATTCCTTGAAGGCAGAGCTTGTTGCCCCATCTCTCCCTTTTTTAAATTTTTTTATTTGATGTTCCAAAGCTAAGAGCTCCACATAGTCCATAGCATTAAGTAGATTAATGTTGAGTTTTTGGTTTTTGCTCTACATTATATAGCTACAGGTTGTGAAAAAGAGTTATCTCCCCTCCCCCAACTTCTAGTTTTTTCAATAAACGATAGTTTGCATACAAAATTATATTATTTTTAAGTGTACAATGTAGTGATTTGACATTTTTATATCTTAACAATGTGCTCACCACACCAAAGCCTCTCCCAACTTCTCAGCAGGACATAGAAAACTAGTAAGCCCTGAATCACTGTACTCTCTGAGACACTGAGATTACAGAAAAATGAAGAAATAGAGTAGCACAAGTGTCTATTTGTCCAATCCAGCCATTTAATTTATGTGACTATGTATTGACAATATGTCCAATTTTATTTGGAAATCATTTCAAAAGTCTTAATTAGGAACGTTTGTTCCACAGTCCTCTCTCCACCAAGTGGCTTTGTTTGATTGTCTCACCCTCTCAGCTGCAACCATCTATGTCTCAGGTGAATTTGGCTTCAGTCATAAACTTCACAAAACACAATTTTAAAAGATGCCAGTCTCTATAATAGGTTATGCCATCAGTGGGATAACACTTGGGTTCTGCTTGTCTCCTCCTAAGATTAGGGAAAGGAGTAGACATATAGTTACTCTATAGTTGCAAGGGGAATAAAAGGCCAAGATGAAAATTTTCTTTCACTTTGACACAGAAATAAATTAATCTGAGTATCCCATTTCTGATCCTTAAGTTGAAGAACCAAACTCACTATTTTATTAGTTTATTTATTAAAATATCACATATATTTTAGTATTTGTATTAAATTTAGTATTAAAAAACTTCAGTGTTATTATTGACCTGCTATAATGTTCTTTTATAATTAGTAATTATTTCAGTAAAGTTGCTCACTCAAAAGCAAAGGTTTTTGTTGCTTGCAACTATTTTTCTATTACTTTAATAATTGGTTTTTAGGCAAACCCTAAGGTTTTGTATGAGTCTTTAAAAATGCTAATAGTATTATTGAAGATTATCCGGTATTTACTCCAGCTAGTAATTTTGTTATTATATTGCACTAAGATGAGTTTCTATGTGAATAACTGACCTAATAAAAAATGTCCTTTTCATTTGAAAACAGAATGACATGGAAGAACTTGATGATATTCTCACATTCATATTCAAACAAGAGATACCATATTATAAGTTCCGATCTCCCCAAACTGAAATCTGCCCTCAAAAAGAATGTGAGTACTTTCCAACTGCATCAATTATCCTTTAATGTTATATTTCAATGTATGTCAATCGATAGTAAATTTTATAACTAAAAATATGATTGAATTGCTGATTAGATGTTATAGAAAATTCCCATCACTTTGTGAGAGAGCACCACTAGTACAAAGTTCTGAAGGTCAATTTCATAATTATTTTTTATCATAGGCCATAAAAATGTGCATTTTTAAAAAATCAGTAAACCTACTTCCTAGATTTTTATGCTAAGGAAATGTTTAGAAAAGTACATCCATGATAGAGACTGCTTATCAACAATTATAACATTGTTTTTAATTACCAAAAATGGAAGTAACTTAATCTTCACAAGATAGATAATTAATGAAATAAATTTTGGTGCATTCATTAAAGCAACTATCAGAAATAAACTTTATTTTAAATTGACAGGCTGGCTGGAATGATGCTTTCATATATTTTTAATTCAATAAAAGCAGGGTATGTAGCAATAAAGTGCAATCATCTTTTTAAAAGTACAAATGTTTGTCCTGGCCAGTGTGGCTCAGTTGGTTTAGCATCATCCCATGTGCCGAAAGGTCACCAGTTTGATTCCCAGGTTAGGGACTTAATCCCAAGTGGGAGGTGTGCAGGAGGCAGCCAATCAATGTTTTGCTCTCTCTCTCCCTCTTCCTTTATCTCTCTCTAGAGTCAATAGAGACATATTTTTTAAATAAATAAATATAAATAAAAATTTTAAAGTACATACGTTTAATAGCATATATGTTTATATCTATAAATTGTTGATCTTGACAGACATGTACCTGTTAACATTAGTTGAGTGTGAGGTTGTGAAATTTCAGGGATTATATTTTTAAAGTTTTACTTAATCTGTGTTTTCTACACTGACTATGTATTATTTGTATGATGAAAATAAAAGTATATATAATATTAAAGAAAAGTATATTTAGGACCTATTACAAAAAAATCACACTTCTAAATGTTATCATGAGCTTTGTAGTATATTTTCAATATTGTTCCTGCATTTTTAAAGTTTATTTTTATTGTTGAAAGTATTACAGATATCTCTTTTATTCCCTCATTGACCCCCTAGACCCCGACCCCCACACACCCATGTTTTCACTGCACTATTGTCTGCGTCCATGGGTTGTGCACATATGCATATAAGTTCTTTGGTTAATCTGCATTGCTTGTTGACATACTGTTTATAGTTCACTTATATGCCCAGTGTGTGCCAAATACTGTGATAGAGCTGTAATGTTGAGTAAAAAAGGAATGGAGCTAAAGAATATGAAAGGTCTGCTGTAGGCATATTAAGAACTAATGAGCAGAAAATTTTTTTCTGTAGGGTCTCTGTCTACTTGAAGCATTTTTATTATCAGGCTGTCAGGCTTCAGGGCAGCAATAAGGAAAGAATGGGATTCCTAAAACACAGCAGATTGTAATTCATGTGGCTGTGTGAGAACATGTATTATGTATGGTGATGTTATATTCCCTATATATCATTATAGGGAAGTGGCAATGATATGCTAGCTTTGAATAATTAATCTTATGAGATTAGTGAAACTTATTTTTGTTTCCCACATATGTGAACAATACATGTATTTTAACAATATATAATTTACTTACAAAATTTAGATATTAGATTAGAATAGAAAAGGAACATGAAATGATTTCTCACTTAAAACACAGAATTTAATTGGAGAAATGAGATAATATATGTTATAACAGAAAGAAACAATGTGCTAAACTTTGTGGAACTGATTATACTGACAATAGAGTTTTAGAGAAAATATACCTTATTTTTCATTCAGGACCTGCTTTGTAAAGGAGGTGTGATTTTTACCTGGGTCTTAAATGATGAGTAGGGTTCTAATGAGGAAGAAAGGAAACAGAAGATGGAATTAAGACAGTTTTTGTGAATTCCCTCAGCATTTTATTTACTTAGGTTTGTGGAATGAGAATTGTAGGTTTGGAAAGGATAGAATGGTTTTAGTCTCTCATTATTATAGGTAAAGAATTCTAGATAAATTTAAAAATGCTTCTCAGCGTATTGTTTAGGTTGTAGAATAAGAATTTTAGAGTTGGGATAGATGAGTTAGCTTGGTACCTTATTTTTATGGAAAAAGAAACATGTGAATCTGACTCCGGAGGCCTGGGGCGCAGTCTAGCCTGTGCTTTTCCAGCAAGCTCCCAGGTAAGGCTGATGCTGGGCCTCAGACTCCTCAATGAGCCCCGGGGGCTGAGAGCAGGGGTTCTCAGCCTCAGCTGCATATTATTATCAGCTGTGGACCTTTAAAAGCTCCCCCCAGCCGAAGCCGAGCCTCATACGAATTAATGAAGAATCCGGGGAGCGGTTCACAGCTGTCAGGACTTTCTGAAGTTTTTCAGATGATTCCAGTTGGCAGCCACATTTACCAGCCCCAGCGTGCTTCCACATATTACAGAGCAGCCAAACCATTCACCCTCATACGGATCTTGGACGCAGAGAAAATATTCCTCTCTCTTTACAAAGGTTAGGAAGTTAGTAGCATATAAAAGTTTTGAACCATTACTAGAATTTAATGATTATTCTGTCCTTGACATAAATTTTTAATAAAACAATAACATTTTTAGCACAAACTAAAAATGGACAGGTCAATATAATCTGAGTAATTCATTCAGAAACCTTATTTGGATATTGCTAGATGATAGTTGCTCTTAAACCTGTAATAGGAGCAAATGACTCTGATAACATCAGGCTATAATTCCTAGCTGAAGTACAAAATGATATGATACAAATTCCATAATACAAATATGCAAGATAGACATGAATATGACTGAACTTGTTTTGCTGGCCTTCTCCGCCCTATAATCTTTCATCAGCGTCAGCTTCAGAATATCTGGTCTTTAAGACTTTATGCCTGCATTTTCATAACTTTCAAGGTGAATATATGTCAAGGGTTGATATGCCTTTATACATAAAGTGAAATTAATTGAGGGAGAAAGTTTAGGAAATGGTAAATTGTTGGAAAATTTATATAGAAGCAAAACTAGAGGTATCCTGAGAGAAATTCAGCAAACAATGATCAGGTGTCATTCCAGATGCCTATCCCTGAGGACAGTTCTTCAATTTTGGGGTGAAATGTTTTATTTATTAATCATTTATTATTTATTACTCTACGTTTTAGCTGAAATAAATGGGAGGTTAGGAGACTGTGAGGGGATGGTAGTCATGAGGAATTGACAGAGTGTGCCCTGAGCATTGAGCTACCCTAAGGTGTTATCCACAGGTACCTGTGGTTCTTTAAAAGTCTGGAACTAAGTGACATACAAATCAAACCTGTTTATCTTACTATTGCCCCATCCTCTTTTCTTTTCTAAGTTGTTTTTGGTAAATCCTGAGTTTAGTTCCTTGTTACTTCATTTATAATAAGTAAAGTGCTATTCCATACCGTTACGTCTTGGTCATTTTCATTCCTGTCTAGCCAACAAACTTCTTCATTTCACCTTTTTCCACCGAAGGCAGGCAAATATGGGGGAGGGAGGGAGTTAGCTGCAGAAATAAGATAGAAATATTCTTTTCCCTTGTAATGCTTCATTATTGATTTTAAAATACATTTCCCATTGATAAGAATTTTCCACAGAAGAAAGTTCTCCCTGGGGGGAAGAACAATAAAAGGTTTTCAGATACACTTGATATATTAATGTAATATTGGACTTTTGAATACAACAGTCAGAAATAATTCATGAAGAACTTTCTAGTGTATGAATCATCAGGGACTGTGAAATTAATATAAGGGATTTTAGCAGGCAATTATTTTTTTTTTTACTGATACATAAGCTACTAGAATAAAAAATATCTGGATACATTTCTTAAAGTAAGAGTAAGTATGATTTTAATCAGCTTCCATTTTGGCTGTAGATTTATATAAACCCACATGATATGAGTCACCATGAAGTCAGTTTGAATGTCCTGACTTGGTCTGGCGATGAGGCAGAACAGCACACGTGGCCAAGCACAATTGCTCTAGCCTCTGGGTAGCTTTCCCCCATTGTTTCAAGTCATTTTAGCAGTTTCATGTTACTGCAGAAGGTATAGGAATCTCCCTGACTTCTCTTCAGAAGCCTTCCAAAGGCTGGGTAGTGCAGGGAATCTTCTGTCGTGGAGAGGAAAAATAAGTTCAATTTGTTTTTAAAAGAGGCTACTGGTTCAATCACTGTAAGTGGCAGTTAGTTTAGAAAAAAGGAAATGAGGTTACTTTGAGGCAGATTATTTACCTTCACAGAGAAAGAACAGACTTAGAAAAGCCCACACCAATACCTAGAAAAGTATGTCAAAGCACATATACATCGAGCAGCAGTGTCTTAACCTGAAAGAGAACAGCACAGGATCTGATCACCAGACCAGTGACATGGGAAAGAATTAACTCAGATTATTATCTCCTAATATGTCTATGAAATGTGGAGCATTAACTGGATGTTCAATACATATGTGGTAGTAACTGGAGGCCTAAGGTTTATCTTGAGTTTGTAATATGTTTAGGTTCACAGAGAATAGCTCATTTGCTGAGTAGAGGAGAATGAATGTCATTGCGTTGTCTCTTTTTATATGATCAAATGATTTAATAATGTGGAAAAATAGAGGACAATATAAAAAACACTCTTTTACCATAACTTACCTTTGCCAAATCTTAATATTTTGTCATGATTTGCTTCAGATTTTTTTTTTAAGGAATAAAACATTACAGGTCACATTCAGTTTCTCCACATTTCCCTCTGTGATTTCACACACGTGAAAAGTAACTAGTACTTCAAATTTCTTGATGGTCATTGCTATGCAGTTCTTAATCCTATTAGTACATGTTTGTTTCTATAATTCATATATACTGTTGAACACTTTTGCAAATTTTAGGTAAATGGTATACTTTTTTCCTTTCGCTCACTATTTTTAATGTGTACATGTATATATGTAGATCTAGGTCATTCATTTGAAATCATTGTAGCAGTGTATTGTTTGATT